GATGCACTTTACTCCTACTCCCCACCCTAACAAAAAAGGACATGTTCCAACATTTTTAAGCATGCGTATTTTACGAGTTTGGATTTTCTGCCCTGACGTTGTATACTCCAACATCCATTACCGCTCCTTGATGTTGGACAAATTAATGGCTGCTGTTAGGGAGGAGGTCATGACATTAAACTCACCATCGTACAGAGAGTTGATGAAATAAAAAAGCAGCCAACTTCTGTTTGTAATTTCAACAGCCGCAGATTAAACTAACCTTCATGTCAATGGGTTTGGAAGATCTGACTAGTTTGGTAGCATTAACCCATTATTGAAAAAAAGGGAAAATCAAGCTTACCATACCATAAGCCATTGTTGAAAGTTTTAACTTTGGCATTTGACAGCCTCTACTGTGTGCGTTGACTCGCCTACAGCCTACAGCGATGGTTAGCGTGGGTGTATAGCGGAACTGTGGTGATCGCCAATAGTGTGGGTAAAATCCATCAAAGGGATAAGAACATCTACTTGGCATCCCCTGATTGGTAAATAAGGAGGGTATTGGAGGCAATAATTCACCTGCCCTATCACACAACCAAACAAAGAAAGGTAATTCTCCGCCCTTGTAGAGTCAGGTGTGATTAGCGTTGACAGCAGCTCCTGGTTGACAGGTGAAGGGCATCTGTTCAGGCACAACCACTACAATGTCAGACCAATTCTTATTTGCTACCAAGTAGAACATTCCACGGATTTCCTTAAGTAAGCCAATCTCATCCGTCTTATTGGAGCAGATTTTATATTTTGGGAGAAGGAAAATGAATTCGATAGGAGGTGAGGGCGAGGAGGTAAAGGAACACATTTGATTTTTTACCTTTGCTGTCTGCTATCCCCACAACTAGACTTTAAAAGGCAAATTCGTCTCCGTCCGCCTAGGCACCCGAATCGGACGCTCCGCTTCTTACCGAGATTATCGATTGCCGTCATCGAATAAGTTCCCAACTCGCACGCGATTGGCTCTTTTCATCCGTGATTAACGCACCCCAAGTTAATGCAAGATTGCAAAAGTTAAGAAAAAAGTATAACTTTTCACCCTATGAAAGCAAATCTCTTATCGATAACACCGTTTTGTAGTTAAAGTAACACTTATTTTTGTACTTTTGTGGTTTTAACTCATTCCCCACATGCATTTATTGTCGAGATGGAAAGGTGCATAAAAAATTTCAGTTTGAAGCCTGCTTGAATCGTAGCGTTTATATGTTAGTAACGCACTTCATAGTAAAACCTGCCATTTAATGAAAACATTTAAAAACAAATTTTTCTATTCGCAACTCGATTTCTGCCTTCTCACTTTGAGCATTTAATCAATCGAGAGGTAGAAAAGAATGTTAAGCAATTTTTTTGTTTACTGTGTGCGTGACTATTAACTAAGGATAAGTTTTTTTGCTTACAATGGACAACCGATCGTAGGATTGAATGGGCGTGGTGAGAAATGCATTGTGCTGTCACCGCTGTTCTGTTGCAGTTAACCGTGATGACCGGGAATGGATCGGCAAGCTGGGCACAAGACAACCTGTAATTGACTATAAAGGAAGGAAAGGTCTATTTCTGGCGCTTCATTTTGAAGCAGTGTCCTAACTAACACCCCACTAAGATACTATTTGCCTTTTAGTATGAGAAAAGGAAAAAGCAAGACTGCTATTCCTCTCCCCCTTATCATGATGGCAAAGACAGCGGTGTGGTGAGATGTCTTCCGTTACTCTAACACAGAAAAGAAAAAAACTCACAGTCAAGACTTAAAGGCATAAGAGGAAGCACTTTCATTTTTCCCGTAAGCATTTATTTGCTTCATTCTTTTTCTCTTTGGGGAAATTTTGCTTGTTTCCAGACTTGTAGTGCTTCATTTGGTCCAATGAGGCACGAAAAGTTATCCAACCAAATGTGTTCGTGTTGAAATGTTATTGGAGAATAAATAAGGCAACAGATTTTATTGAACAGACAAAAAACTAAAAGGAAATGTTAAAATTATAATAATTTGTGCAAAAGGTGGCATAGTTAATTCTCAAGGAAAGCATAAAGCAATTGACTACCCATTTAATAGTCGAAGTCAATGAATGGCACTAACGCGTTGACAAATTGACCAGTTGACTGGAGAGCAAGGTCATCCCTGACGAGCCTGTTTCATCACTAAGTAAATGCTCCCGAAAATCGTTTCTTCCAAAACCCGCCCTTAATAGGACAAACACAATTAAGCAAACCGACTGAATGAGCAGAGGAGGAGGAGGAGGGTGAGAACAATGCACATTGTCTATTGTGCATTAAACAGGACACGAACAGATTAATAATTACGCCTTTTTATGCCACCAATTATAGACATGTGAGATCAGAATGGGGAAGGAGATTGGGAGGGAGCAGCTCTGTCAGACGTGGTAGGGCGAGAGAGGGTGGAGGGCTTTTGGCGGAAATGAGAAAAGACTGAAACACCTGAAGCTCGGAGGAGCTGACACTTACCTCTTAATGCATCTTTTCATCGACACCAGACTTGTGATAACTTTTAATTACTGATTTGAATAATGACCTTTAAGTTCTTCCTATTTTTCGATCTTCTTGGCACAAATGACACAGTAATTGCGGTTTCCTCGCCTCATTTTAAGTAGTTCTTTTCCCATTTTCTCAGTTTCGTATGCTTTCTAGCAGGTGTGATTTTGACGCCTCGTTGCCCGTACCAGAGGAACAAACGCAGTTATACTGAGTCAAGATTTTTTGTCTCATAAAAGGTACTTAAGGAAGTGGACACAAGGTGAAAATCATTTTGGCATAATTTAAGCTTTAAAGTCGAATAAGTACATTTAACTATGAAATGTTGAAGTGTTCTTTGAGAAGTTAGCCAATCAACTTCCACTTTGAATTGGTAACGATCAGAAAACCACCAATCAGAATTAAATCCTCTTAAATTGACTATTGTGCCCATCGCTTAAGATGATAAAGCCGTTGAAAAGGCTGTACACATGGTTTTTAATGATAGCGAGTAAAATCATTGTGATTACTCATGATAAGGTGGCTTGTTTGTAGCAGTAACTTATTCAATTATAAAACTGCCCGAGCAGCTCTTTTTCCATTGGTTACAACCAACGTGCCAAATACTGATTTCCCAATCACTTACGAGTAATCGAAATTGCCGCACACTAAGTTATAATCAACGTAGACGATTTTTCAAACGCCATCCTTGGCATAAAATCAGAGCTAAGATACAGATGATGAATGAAAAGCTTTGGAGAAGTGGTCTTCGTGGGCGAAGCCGCCTCTTTGAGAGCTGTCTGAGTCACATATTGGGAGGGGGAAAGGGCAGAACAGAAGGGCTTGGCAAGCAGTGCTTTTTGGACAGGCCAGCTCCCCTTCGTGACTGTCGTCAGCGTCGTAGTATTAGTAGTAGTAGCAGTCTGTGTTTTCGTTGTCGTCGTCATCATCGGCGTCATCGTTCTCAATTTGAGACTCGTGCCAGCACCTCCGCCCGCAGTACGACTCCGCACTGAAATGGATTTGTGGTAGGCAGTCCGCCAAATCACAATAGATTAAGAGACGTAAAGATATAAAGAAATAGAGCTGTTGAATGAAAAATGTGCAACATATTATGCAATGTAAGCTTGAATGCCAGTACTTCGTCCCATCTGAAGATTCAATCGGTCTGAGTGCCACCATCACCTTCGCGTTCGATATTTAACTTCTATTGTTATGTCCTTATCTGTACCTGTAGGGTTGGTCAAAAGGACGTATGCCATGGATTCCGCAACGATTAAGCGTGGTTACGATCCTGAATAGTCCCTAATCCATTCACTTCTTGTCTCATCGATGCCCATTCAGAATTTACGAGCAAAAACGTAGAGATATGCAGAAACTGCCAGCAATGCAAACTCACAAGTTGACACAAGGACTGATTGCGATGTTCTTTGTCTGATCGTCTGTTCTTTTGGCTCTTTAACTTCTCACATTTTTACCCCAATCTCTGCCCATCCCTCATCACCTTCTTCCCGTCCTCTGCATCTCTATTCCACCTCGTACTCTCTCGCCCCGCCCTGTTCTGTTCACCTCCCCTTCATATCTTCCTCTCCGGTCCCACATGTCCCGAAATGGTGACAGAAGGAGGAGTAATTAACAGATTGTCCCTGTCCCAATCAATGCACAATAAGAGACTGATATTGCCCTTCCCCTTCCTCTCATTGCCACCTTTTTTCCTGCACCCCACCCTGGAAATGGTTGTATTCGCCTACTTAAGTAGGTGAAGATGTAAACGATGTCAGAGGAGTCTTTCTTTCTTCTTGGTTGATCAGCTATCATTGCCAACGAACAACCAATCATTTTTTACTGATGCTCCCATGTGTTTTAAAATCCTTCAGTTTTATCGAGGCTGACTTGCACATACCTTTTCCCTTAAGTGTTGGCCAACCGTAAAGCCATAGTTTTAAAACGGTGTCGCTGTTACACCATGTTAGCATCACCGTTGTGGCCAGGATTTGGTTTTAGAAATTCCCCTGCGAAACAAAACATTTGCATAATCTCTTTAACTGATAATACAATCTCAATTTACTCTCCACATTCAATAGGTTATCCAAACAACACACGTTGGTCTCTCAGGTCAGTGTATGTATTTGAAGGAGACTAATGAACAGGAACGGCCATAACTAGTTGCACTCAATCTTCATTGCCTAATTTTTATTTAACATAACATTGTTTTTGCTTATAATCTTTAAGTAGTAATAATTTTATCAATTTTAGCACCTTGTAAGGCAGTGTAAACTCCCATACATAATTCACCAGTTCCGATTTCGCAGCCAAAATAAAAAAAATAGACTGTGATAACGGTAAAGTAATAATTTTTACAATGTATTTTGCAAAGTTATATGCGTGTTTTGCCTTGATGTCGGTAAACTTTCAAGGCTTTACCTTTTGGTCACACGTTGCTTTGTTAAATAATTCAGCGCTCATGACCCCACTTGGAGCAACACAATGCTCGCATAAGAGATCTAACTGGAAGATTCCAAATATCGAGCAAAGCGACACGGACATTCACTTGGGTTTGTTTCACAAACACTGTAGTGCAGGTACAACTGTTCAGCTTGCATGCCGTCATAAAATGCCTTGGTCATGTTCATTGCAAAAATGTTCTCCACCATTATGCTCAAGCAAAAGCGATACCAGAAGGACTTCTCTTTGGGCCGTGACATGTCTACCACGTGATATGACCGAATCCAATTAGGGTCAAATTCTGTGAGCAAGAGGAAGATAGCTTTTGCCATTTTCGCTACCAATTGATGCACCAGAAATGGCCTGTCATTAATGGCGTACAGTATGTGGAATTGAGGTTGCAGTTCTTTGACCTCTGGACGTAGAATTTTTGAGATGTGATGACGCATAATCCGGATTAGATTGCAGAAGATGAAGCATGCCACGTGACTGAGTATTCCGCGTTCACCAATATCCTTACGAAGGAAATACATAAAACCATTTGTCCATTCTGCTGAAGCGTCCATAAGAGCAGGCCATTCCATTAGTTCTGCTGGCTCATCAATGTTCAAAGGGGATTTGTAAAAATAGCCCACTGGAAGTGAGAGGTAGGAGATTCTTGTACTGTATTTGACGTGTTGCTCGGAAAAGGGTAAGACTTTGGTGGTGAAACGACTCCATATTTCTCGCATAACCTCAAAAAGTATCAGCGGGTCCTCCGGATATAAGGCCACCACAGTGCTCTCATACGGATCGCGTTCAGTTAGGAGCCACTTCACCAAACTACATACTTTGCATTTGGGATTCTCTAATGTTGGACCAGTCCTTAAGTTGAGATCGAGCCTATCAATAAAGATGTCCCCCTCGTATGTAGAACACGGTTTACATCTCATACTCAAAGCCATCATGGGAGCCACGATGAAATTGGGGAGTGTTATGGCTCCATTTTCGTCACAGCAGTAGTCACTACCCAATTTCACAGTAGGTGTGTCTGGCGGTAAATTTTCAAGATCAATGTAATGAATATTCTCAGTGTGGAAGGCATCAGCGATGTGTTGAACGCTGGAATCGTGAGGAATATTCTGCATCTTTGGTAATTGGGCGACTACAACACCAAACCGGAAAAGGCTCGCACACTTCCAGTTCCCTCAATCGACCGTTCTTATGCGTCACATGGAGGCAAGTCACGCGTTTCATACCAGCGCCTGTGAGCGCGTCGATTTACTGCCCTTGATGCAGCACTATTGAAGACGCTGGAACTTAAGAGTTGGTCAAATGTAATGAGACGAAGAACTTGTGGATGTAACTTTTGTCAAATCATGCCTTCTGTAATGCAGTGGTCTTGTTGATTGTTTCAAGAAGTGTGTAAAGAGCTATATGTACGCTGAGATTACACGTGACTCTTCTCACTCGTAGCCAACCACGACTAGCCATTATACACGAAGGTTGAGACGCCTACGGAAACTTGCAATCTCCTTTACCGACATTTAACACAGACTCCAATCGGAAATTTACATTTTAATGCTACTGAAAAGAAATAAGTAGCTAGCGCGTCGTTTTACTTGCGCGACAATGCTTTTGCATTTAAAAACGAAAATTCCTCCCAGGCTTGATCTTTTTTTGTTTCGATGCCACGATTTTTTACGGCTGCAATCCTAAAAGTCAGAGTACTCTCAAATTATGCAACTCAAATGATCTGCATAAAGATCCCCTTTAATCCGATCGGAAATGTGCCACGCATGAATGCCAAGAGTGGGCAGCAGTAGTTGAATTGACCACTACTTTGCGATGAGATAAGAAAAATGGGGACTTTTTAAAGCTGTATAATAAAAATGCCTGCTATGAGTAAATGTCTCCCTAAGGATGGAAGCGCTTTTTGTTAAAATACTGGTCTGTCTTAGGCAGCAAAGCTTTGAGTCAATCCAAAGGCTGGATCATCCAAAACGCCTCTTTAGGTATAGTAATTAGGAAGTTAGCGTCCTCGTGGGTGAAGTTCCTTATGACCATGGACTTCTCCACGTTGTAAGGGTCTGTTTCGTTCGACTCTGCAAAAGACAGTTTGGATGACATTTTGTCGACTTTAAATGCCCAAAATGGTGGCAACTTTGAGGTGTCACTAAGAGTTCCGCAGGCGTATGAAAATTACATCCTCATTTTACACCACTTCTGCTGTTTCCCTGACAGATGCCCAGCGGAGTTCCCATTCTCCTCTCCACTGACGATTGCATGGCGATTGTGCTTGAGATGAAAACGGATTTAGGAATTCCTTCCTTCCTGAGGAAAGTCTCGTTCGACACACGATCGGAGACCACTCCAATGCATTTCGACGACGAGTCTTGCAAATTTTATTCATTGACTGTTGCAGACCTCTGCAACGTATGCAGTACGCAAGCACAACACTAATAGGAGGGCATTTTTAACTCTTCGTGTCCGAGGTGCTGGACTTTTGTCATTTTAACGAAAATCTACTGCGGGTGCAAAACAGCATGACATTTCCACCCCTTGTTTGTCCGGCCGCGTCTTCGAACTGACGTTTGTTTCATACACTTCTTCCGCCTCATACTGCCTGTATTGCAGCCTAACTTCAGGTGTAGTTCAACAGACGTTTGCCCCTCAAGGAAAAATGTAATGAGCCCGGTATGGAGAGAGAAATTGTTGACGTCGTTTGCCACAGCCATCAATCGTTGCCTCATCGAGCTAGGTATGGACGAGGTTATGGGGAGAGCTGAGGAGGGCAACGTACATCTTAGAATTGAGGCAGCTAAACGACTCGTGTAGGAGGAGGAGATGGAGGGGCTGACGCGGGCCGTGGGGAAAATGCTGGCGATGAACCTGCTCGATGCGCATAACAGCTCAAAGGCACTTCCACAGAAGATGACTTAAGTGTTACGATTGTCCTCGGGATTTGCGGAATTGTCTCTGCCACACTGCAAGCGGAAGTAATTTTTCCTTCTATCTTTCCTATTCTCGATTTACTTTTGCAGTTTGCTAACATGAAAAATGGATGGGAGGAAAATAAAGGTGTATGATCCTCAGACTTCTCCTAGGATCTTTGAACTTTTGATATTACTTTACATTGATGACAGTCCAGCCAACCTATGCTTTGATCACAAGGCTGTCGAACTCCTACAAAGACGTCGCCAACATTGATGTACTGAAACGCATTTAGGGGTCCAACTGTTAACCACTGGATGACTGTGCACTACTAAATGCGTGCGCTTTAAGTGTTTCTTGCGAGTAGATCTACTACTGTTAGATGACATATCTTAGCGCTGCAAACAACGACAAGATTAACGGGAAAAAAGTACAAGTTTCGTCCATTACCAAGATTATGAACTGCATCGGGTCTAGCCCTTACGTCTTGACCTAAGATGTTGGGTTTGACCAAAGTTGACTGGAGGCGGGTAAGTCGGTCGCCAAGTCACCACCAACGACTCCTCTCTTTTGCCCAAAGATTTCTGCTGCCAACCCAACAGGAGATACTAAAATTAGCGGTCTGTAACACTTTATACAAAACTGCCTACTGAAATAAAAACAAGTAACCCATTTATGGAAACATCTATTTCCTTGCTTTATTTACTTTTTAATGAAACCGGATTTGGTTTACTTGCGAATAAAGACGTTCTTTTCTTTCTTCATCACTGATGTTGGGTGGTGTTAAGGGAGGAAGCATGTCCTGCCCATTCCGCAGCAAACAGCTCAACAACGGCCCTTGAGGCTTCGTCAAAACAAAAATGCTCAAGTGTGCAACCACGCAACCAAAGGCAATTTATGTTAGCACAGAGTATATTCATCAGAGCCCTTCGTCTCAGTTTAGCCTCCTCCTCATCCATCCATGTTGGTATGTCCACTTGTGGTGGCAGATCACTTTCAAGATACTTATGGATTACCCAACGTGTGTCCAATGTAATTACATCATCTGCAATGTAATTAGCCATTTTCCAAACAATTAATTGAAGAAATCTACTTCTAAATACCATCCTGGGCATGAAAAAGACATTAACTTCTTCGTTAAGACTTTCGTTTTCCCGTATGGCTACTTCTCGTATCAAGGCGCAAAGATTGTAGAGGATAAAACGCACCACGGCGCGATGGAAAGCATATGGGATGCACATAAGTTCCTTAAAAATGTGACAATTTACAGCAGTCATCTGCATTGACAATCGTTGATTGTAGCCTAACGGATTGGTCTCTATGTCGTACTGAAGTAACAATTCCTCCTGGGAAATGTTCATGGGAAAGATGCCTTCCATTCTAGTATCAGCAAAGGTACCCAGCGGGAAGACCACATTTGACTCCTCCATAGTTACGCATGTATCATAGTCAAGGTAGAGAAGTGGTGGTTGGGCGTCCCTTAAAAGGCTTCTGAGCACATAAAAGTTAAAAAGAGGTGTTTGACAATTTAGTACTGCCATACAATCCTCGAGACTGCTAGCTGTATTTTTTAGAAAATCGGCAATTAGACGAACAGCTTCCATGGGTGGCACTGACCTCCAGCAGTTAAGTAGCATGAGAAAAGAATACGGCGGATCTAAAGTAAGAGTGGCTAGGTGTTCCACATGCATTTTCCTGAAAAGAGCAAATAAAAAGGCTGGCACACGGTCCCCATTCTCGGTGTCTAGGACAAAGGGCAATCTGCCTATACGAACGGTGACAAAGTAATTGGGGAAAGCGAAGACTGGATGCGGACTTTCATATGGGTCGTAATTCTCGTCTTCCGAAGAATAACTTTCGTTGGGCGTTCCCATTTTTAATTCTCACCCTTTGTGCGTACACAACCGGTGGCCACCACACATGTGACAGGAGCCTCGTGAACTGTCAAACTTAAACAAAAACTTATCGATTTGTACAAAGACTAATGCGGAAAAATTTGGAGCCTTCGAACTTTAGGGGAGTTAATACACACATTCCATTTACTTGTCCATTCCTTAAATCGTCCACTGCACTGTTCGCCAGTCGTATATACGGCCGCTCAGAGTTGAAGGACTCACTCATTTGCTCACAGGGCTGACTTAGTGCTTTCCGTAGCCACGTCAGTCTTGGCGACTCTTCAACTCAAGCGTAGGCGTCTAGTTTGGAAAACGAGTGCTTTTAAAGCGAGTAGAGCCATAAAAGTTAATGGAAAACTGCACTTTCAAATCTTGGCAAAGCTTAAGGGGTCAAGGATTTGTTGTGCCTTGAGTGATCTCAGTGCACTAAAATTCGTCCTGGCGAGATGAATGAGTGTTGTGGCAGTGTCACTTAAAATACTGTAACTGGTGGGTCCAAAATGCGCATCGGTTTAGGCGTCCGTTCAAGCGAGTGGCGACACGGTGATTGGTTGATGCGTAAAACGTTAAAGTTAGTGGGGTCAAAACTTCACCAAGTCTTGCCCTGCCCCGGCGTAGACCCTTTTCTGACAAGAGGTGTTAGTTCACATTCATGACCTCAATGAGCCCATCATGGCAACACATCAACCTTGTCGTCAGCTCTGCCGCGCAGGGGACACATGATTACGGAATTCACTATGCTTTAAGTCCACCAATTCTCAAAGGACGAGAGGTGGTACTCCGTGGAAGGCTCTGCCCCCTCTTCCTCCCCGCACTCCGGTTATGTCAGCATCTCTGCGGTGCCTGACAATGTCAACTTACCCTTCATTGACGCCCTCCAAGACCAGTCTGACAAATCTTAATTTTACATGCAGAAGCATAAAGCTACTGAAATAGTTTGGATCCTCAAATTAACTACCTTGAAACCACCTGAATACCATCGCTACAAAAGGACTTAAGGGTGGGCTTTTGCAAACGAAATTGGATCCTGTTGAGCCTTCCAACCGGAGCCACCAGTAACCTCCTTGATGCAGTTGTATTTGGCCACCAAAAGTGGTGCTATTGGTGTGTGGGCTGGGACAAGACGACCTTTGCCCATTACGCAGAATCAGCCAATGAGAGGGCGAGGATCGCAGCGGCGACATTCGACACCGTGCCAAGTTTACCCATGGAAGGTGTATGACACCGGTAGACGAATGACTGCCGGGCCTCAACCCCAGACGTATGTCATTAAAACGACTACATTTGGCAACCTTGTGGAGGTGAGTAAAGACAACCTAAATAGCCCTTCCTCGATGTCAAACCAACAGGTTGCACATTCTCTGCACGATTTTGGTCAACTTACATTTACCATTTTTGCCGATTCTAGAGTAATCCGAATTGGAGAAGTGCGATGTTAAAGTGTGCCTATTCGAAACTTTAGGACGAGTTTTTTTCAATCCGTAAGAGAAGCGCAAAACCTCTGACAAAACGAATGGATGGTGGAGGGAGACGCTACGTGTTCTGCCATCGAAAGACTTCGAAATATGTATATATAAAAACGGAACTGGAAGAGTGGTTGAAATTCATTGGAACGAAACGGACATCGAGCATTGAACTGCTAGATTAAAGCACTGTTTATTGAAACAGAAGGACATACACGACTAGGGGAATGCGCAACTCAAACGGTGTTTATGACGTCCACAAGATCCTTAACAGCCGGATTCGAGAGGATTACCTCCCACACCTGATGCTCGGCGCATCTGTCGAAGGGCTCGATGGCATTTATCACCAAGAGGCTGCGCATACAGTTCGTTGCTGACCACAAGTACCTGTCCTGCTCGTCTCGCGACGACATGAATGTCGCGCTATCGCAGGGCACGTAGTAGTACTTCTTCAGGTCAATTACACGTGGTGAGAGGGCAGAGGCGAGAACAGACATTGCCCTCGACATCTCGGTGGGAAACAATCTGATGGCACGGAAAATGTAGTCCGGATCACTTGGATCGCCCTCCGCACATCTCAGCTCACCTTCTACGTAGGCTCGAAGCATGCGAATGAGGTTTGTCATTAGGCAACAGAAGACGTTTGTGTAAATGTCTGGTGTTTTTGTGGCATCGAGAATGAAGAAGGATTGCATCTTCACGAAAGTGTCAAACTCCAAAGCCAATACGGTCAAATCCTTCTCCGTGTCGGGGCAAAGAACTCGAGAAATGTAAAACTGATTCATATTGACGTAGTCATGATGGAATAGAGAGTAGGGCAGTAGTTTCTTCTTTAGTCGACTCAACACCTCTTTCAAGATTTCAAAGAGGAAGACACTGTCCCGTGAACACCATCGAGATTGGCAGTCATCAAAGCATCGGCAGTCCTTGAGGAGCCACCTCACCTCTTGACACACCTCACATTGACAGCACTCAGGAGTTGGGTTGAAGGAGGGACGACCAGAAATACGATTCAGAAATGACTCTGTATTGTTAGCAATCTCTTCGCCTTGCCTACTACGTAGGAGCATCAGCGGTCCTGCAATGAAGAGAGGGATTTTGACTCCATTTCCATTCGCGGTACAACTGTAGTCCGATTTGAACTCCATCATTGGTGTTTCAGGATCCAAATAGTAGAGATCGATGAGGAGGTCTCCATGCCTGGGCGCACTGTAGGGTTGATGGGGTAAGCAGGTTAAGTGATGCTCTGGCATGGCTGGAAGAGTCCCTCGATGAAGTGATGCGCTCTAGTCCACGCAACTACAATCCACCGCCTCACTGCTGCTCGCGATGATTTGGACCAAATCGATTCAACGTCACGTGTCCGGTGGGGCGTCTGGAGGGTAATCATGCACCACTTTGTCACTGCGAGTGGGGAGGTCGAAATCGGGTCGCGGAAAGGCTAGAAATAGCGGACTTAGTCAACGGGTCTTCACACCAAAAGCGAATGGTCAAATGGGGAGGTTTGAGTGGCCTTCGACCGCCATGTCTAAGTGTTTCACCACAAAGTCGTTGTCGGAGGTCAGCCAGACCAAGTAGCGCTTTCTTCCGTCTTTTGACGGCTAATCATTGCAGAGCTGTTTTCTGGGTTGTGTATGTCCATTAAAAGTAGTGCGAACACAAGTTGACACGTGCCTGATGACCGTCAAGGTGCACCCCGAGATCAGTGAGTAGCCTCAACAATTGAAGTCGTCTCCCTTTCTTCCGGAACACTCCCTCAAAGTAGGTCAATAGAATACAGAAACGCAGGCATAGGAAAGTGTTGACTACCGTAAGGTCAAGGTCATCACATGTTGTATGGGGTACTTATAAAATTGGATGGAAATCGACCCCTAAAAGAATGCTGACTCGAGATGGTAGAGTGTTCTTACTTGATCCCAGCCGGCGAATTCATTGTTTACCATAAAAGGAAAAGTAAGTAGACTTGAAACTTGTAAGTCTCACTAAAGACCCTCTGAGAGGTCCTTCTACGAGACCGGTGCCACATTGAGGCGGTGTCGGTGCGGTAGAATGGCAACAAGCATTAAAGTCCGCACTGCTAGGCCATCAGAGCGTAATGATAAACTGATGAGGGCTTTCCGGAGCCTCCAAACCAACTCTAATGACCCACGGACGCCGTGAACTAAGGCTGCAACGAAACCAATAAGCAAAAAAAAGGCTGAGTTAAAAGTAATTAAAACTCTTTTCCAGCCATCCCCAGTACCGAGGTGCCCTCCTTTGCAAGAGTGACCGAGTGACCGAGGCTTCGCCCGTCCCACCATCAAACAGCGTCACATCAGCATTGCCCTCTCTCCTGTCGCCCACTACAACGTGACGCCACAAACTCTCAGTGTAGAACGAATAATCGAGACTGATGCATTCATTAGCATGTATTTTTCATTTAAGGAGAGAAGAAACAAAAGCGTGTTGTGTTGTGTTTGTTTGTTTTTTTTTTCAATTGTGCACACACTCAGCTTAGGAGGACAAATTGTTGGGTCAATTTGCTACGGGTAGAGGCTGTCCACAGGCGCAGTCCTGTCGCGCTGCTTGCAGGACCTTGGAGAGTTTGCATGCACAGAATTCAGCCACACAACCCTCTCCGTGCTCCTCAGTGTGGAAGAGGATGTCCTCGAATCCACACTGCGAATTCCAGGCCTTTTGAGTGTTGCTACAGAGTATGTTCATCATAATGTGGACTTCAAAAGCTTCCTTATGCAGACGCACCCACTGACGTTTGTCAGTGATGTCGGAACGACAGTGCATCTGTTCAATGAACCAGGCACGATCAATGTCAAAGAGCACAGGAGCGATCTCCTCAGCGAGACGTTGAATGAAGAGTTTCACAGAACCAGGTGGTGATTTTGCCACCCGCATCACAGCGAGGGGATCAAAGTCGGCACAGAAGCAGGGAGAAATGGCACTACAGTAGGTGCGAACTAAATGCATTGCGTTGACAATGATAAAAGCGACACAATCGCGAAGCTTTTTGTTGACAATAGTCTCGGCATCATAGTAAAGGGAGGTGTTGAAGAGATTGAGGGCGCAAATTTGAGTCTCCCTTGTGTAGTTGCATAAATAGCACTCCTGATCGACACATAAATCCTTTGGAGTGGTGACTCCGTCCGACAGCTCCACAGTGGTCTGTGTCCATGCCTCCAACTCGTCCTTAAAGATGGGATTTCCATCACGAAAGAAGCTTATATTCTTGATGAGTCCACATGAAGCATTGGAGATGGGAAGCGGACATGGTTTAATCAGTTTCACGATCTCCAAAATGACATGCAAAAGGAAGTGAGGTGTTGCAGACTCAAGAAATTCCATACTCTCATTCACCGTGCGATTCACATCGAGTAGCCACAGTGCCACCTCCCGAAGTTGCTCCTTACGTTTGTCGGTGAGTGGTGGAGATCGGTCAAGCAGGAAGTTGTGTGGTGGTTTCATTTCCAGGAAATCGACATGCTTGCTCCTCAACATCACCGTGGCAATGGCCAAACCTTGAGGAATTTTGATACCGCACGTATCAGCACAATCGACGAGATTTGACTCAAATTGAATTTGAGGAAAATCTCCCAACTTGGTCGCCATGGTGCTAGCGGAGCTGGAAGTGGGGGGCCATAGCTCGTCGTCGGGATACTTGCGTTCCCTCTTTCCTGCCCGGAGGTCTCGCTCGTCCGCCATCACGAGACGCCTCACAATCAATGCACGTGATGTGTGACCTCGACAAAAAGGCGTTTGGAAATTCTTCAAGGCGGATAGAATTAAAATTGATCAAAACGATAAATCTTAGCATCGCAACTTCGTGAGATTCGTCAATGAAATTTTACAAGGCGTTTCTGTGCTTCATGAAGGTGTGCCCAGACCATGCCTGATGGCATTTAAAGCGTTGGTGTGACTGGGGTACTACTGGTAAGGCATGAGTAGGAGAGTGACAAATCTTGAGCAACTCTTTGGTCAGAGGTCTCGTTTACCTCGACCTTCAATAAATGCTGCCAAACATGACACGACCATTCACCTTAAGGCATGTGGCCAGACGCCGTAGTGCCATTAAATGCCTTCCCACGAGGTAATGTGTGAACTCTAAGTCGAGCATCACAACCACCCTGCACTTTTGGTGTTGTGCTTAAATATTACGCACTAAGTGTCATTACACGTTAATCCAAGTTTCGACTTGCACATTCAACAGATGAGTTATAGGCGCACAGTGTCAAAAATACAGTAGTTTGGGAGGAACTGACGAAACTGCTAGTGAGAAGGAATCGTTTAGACAGTGCACAGCTTTCTTGTCAATTTCGTGCCAAAGCATGATTGACTTGCGCTTTGGAGGAGCAGTGTAGCACCTCAAGACTTCCCACTAAGTAGCAGAAGGCATTAAGTTGGTCTGAATACATGCATCCCAGGACGAAAAGAAAGAAGTTAACTTTAACTTAGACCGACGGCCAGCCATTTCGTACAAGAGTAAGATTACTAATAGAGTAGTCGCAACACATCCAAGTGGTCTCATAAACAAAGCATTCAAGGCTTCCTGATCCCTGACAGCAATGGAGAGCATTGTTTTACGACCAAGTAATGCACAATCGATTAGTCATTTTGTTAAGGTTATGGAGAGGATCCGTAGGAAAGGGGAAGCAGATTCGCTTAACTTTTACACAGCTAAGAGATGGTCATTAACAGTTCAACAACAATCTCAACACTTCTCCATTTACATTTGGATAAAATGAGACGGCGCATGTAACAATATTTGTTTGATTACCTGTATCAAAGGAGGGTAATTTGGTTGCTGCATTGCTTCCATCCAGTAACTAAACAAGCCTTATGCCTTCTAATACCAAGTGGAAAGTGTAGGGCCGCTACAACGGGAACTTTGGCATACCACCAAAGGGAATTCAATTTACCAATAATAAGTTTATTGCCAATGCGAAAGCCATTTGACCAGTCAGGTATATAAATGTTACATTACCTTCTCATACTCTGTGCATAAATTTTAAAAACTATCTAATGGTAGAACAATTGTTTGTCATGGCCAATTAAAAGTTTTAATTAAAGAATCTTTTAAGCTTTCAATATAACAAATTTGTTGATATTGTCAAGAGCTTCTATATGTGTTCAATATTATTTGCATTCAGTGTTTGACAAGTGTTCTTAATAGTAATGACTCTATAACGTTTATAATGCCACTGCTAGTGGTTCCTCTTGCACTGTGCACAAGCCTCCCGATTAACCCACTTGCTTATTACTCACAATGGATCAGCAGCCGTCTGCACTGGGCTCATTAACACCCGCCCAAAGGGCGCAACTGGTAGATCAGATGAAAGCAGAAGTAGCTATTGCAAGCACTCGTGAACTGATGGATGTAAGAAAACACCCGTACTCGATTGTCTCCTTTGTAGCAAATGACCCAAAAGTGTTTTGAAAAGTGCATATCTAGACCGGGTACTTCTCTCGACAATTCTGAACAAAAGTGTCTTGGTAATTGCATGGATCGATACATGGATTCAATGAATTTAATCTCCAAGGTGTTTGTCAATCGTCTGCGGCAGGAGGCTAACAAGTTATAGCAGCCTTCTGAACCGATTCAGCTGCTGTACTTTATGTAGTCACACAAAAATTTGTATAGGTTATATGCAGACGCTGTTTTACTATCATAGACTTGAGTCAGTGTATGTTGCAGTCTTTTTGACTGCTGGTTTGGTCTCCGGAAAAGGCTGAGAACTCTTCCACGTCGTCTCTTATGGCTCTCGCACTCCCGTTATCGTACGTTCCAAAATGCATATATAGTTTCTCCCTTACTAGTTGCTATGGGTTTAAATAGGTCCTTTTAGGGCTCTTAATTTCGTAAATTTGTTAATATGTGTTCTGTGCCGTCATTGTACATTTTGGGACTTTCGAGAAGTTGTTTGTAAATCTATTTTGAACTATCATCGTGCAGCGTATGCTCGGGGTGATAGGAATATTCTTTTGTAAGTTTTATTTGACGTTTTTAGCTTGGGTCCGATCGAAAAATCGTAGAGTTTGCGTTATCTATCTTCGTAATCGTTAACCCTCTCATTTTCGGATCGGAACTCTGATGATAGGTGTCAGAAAGCGGTTAATTTCTCTATATCCAACCCTCATGATTGGCTCAAGAATACGAAATTGTCGTGACAACTAAAGTGGTCTTCATTCTCGCCCTTGTCTCAAACTTTACTAGAATTGTGTCAAATAAAACGAAAAGAAGCGCTCTGACGTGTATTAGTTTATGAGAGCAGGTGTGTCGAGTCTCTCTTTTCTAGTCGGGTTATTAAGGCGCGAATTCAGATTTTGAAAGCGACTGTCAACTTCGTAAGCTCGATTACGCGCACTTCCAACCCCCCCGGTCCAAAAGTCGCGTTGCCTATACTACTTATTCATTCACTTAAAGTATATGTAGTACTTCTTTGGCGTCAATATCATCGGCAGCTTCACCTTCGTGTAACCATAAGGGTGACTAGTGATAAGGGGTACGCGGCATAAAAGCATCTTCGCTTTAATATTTCGCGTCTAATGGGTATTAATGGGGTGGAGAGGTTGCCTTTTCTAGTAGTATGGGTCCAGTCAACCCCTTGCAACGAACTTGCGAAGTCGTGCTTTGCTGAGCAGCTCTTCTGCAAGATTAGCCTTTTTCATAATTTAAAACGGGCATTTCTCAAGACTCAACTCACTCACAGGCTAGGTGCCCAAAGCGGTCTGTTGCCGCGATTTTATAGTACCATCAATTTCGGAGGCTTACAATCGTCGTTGCCGATTCTTTCTACTGTTTAGCTGTGTAGCGGAAATCTCGAACTGACTCCAACTCTAACCTCATTTATGCCTGTCAGGGAATATTTCTTCACGCTTCATAATGCACACTGGAGCGCTACCACATATCATTCGCCCACCATGTCGCCAATTGACCCACGTGTCACTGCTGTCCTGCTAATATTGATCCGGTCACATGAGACAAACAGGTGATAACCCTTGTAATAAGGATGACTAGTGGAGGCGCAAGTCCAACCCGCCGGGGAGAGCCGAATAATACTGATGAATTTCTTAAGTTCCTCCTCGAGGGACCGAGTATGGGTTTTGACGAGACTCTCCTTCGACCCGTGAAACGCGGCGGTGTGGAGATTCCTCTTCCTCTTGGTGCGGTGTTCGTGACCCTCCATCGGAAGCATAGGGAAGAGATGTCCTGCGATCCATTCTACAGCTTCCTGCAAGATGGAAACTTTGATTCAAACATTGGTAGTGACATGGAGGATGCGGATCTAGATGCCACAATTGATAACCTATTGTCCCCTAAAATTACTCTCGAGGAGAGTTACAACACTCTGGATAAGTACAATGCGGGAGCACTATACCGACTCCTCTATCGTCTCATGCGCCAATTCTGCTTCAAACCGTTTCCCATTACAGGCAGATCCTGTGAGCTCATCTCTAGCATCGACCTGTTTGATATCAGGGATCCAGTGCTACGGGGACACCTAAAGTTTTGGGAGAAAGAGCTGATTGGCTCTGAGTTTGAGCAGCCGGAGTCCTTTCAAATACCGGAACTTGATGAGGGTTGTAGGAAAAGAGTGGTAAGGGAAACCATCAATGTATGGCAATGGCGACATGAGCGCATCAGAGCGATGAATGTGTTGAATAACTGTCTATTTTACGACCTGCTGTTGGTAGAGGACGTCAGAGTGCGTCAATTACTGCGTTTTATAGTGGCAAATCTGGTGGAATTGGTGCACAGTTATATTAAAGGAGCGTTCAAGGAGGAATTCCTACCGAACGATTCAATGCTTCATGTGGCCGCACTGACATTGCATCCGGTGGAGATGAAGCGAACGATATGTCGCATTGCCAGAACCTTCGGCCAAGTCCTTTTTCGATTGGAGATCGAATGGGTGACAAACAAAGTCCGCCAATATCCCTATCGCCCGGACCGTGTAACCTGGGCTTGGGAACGCGCAATTTGTGACATGCAGGCTCACGTATTAAAGAACATTCTCTGTGTTAACCATCCGGATTTTTGGAATCCACGCAAGCACTTGCAGGAGAAGATGATTCATGATAATAAGGAGTGTAACCAGGCTGCATGTGCATGCAAATTCTTTGAAAATCCTGCATTGCCCTAAAGGATTCCCGTTGGGTCTAGTGTTGTAACCTTGACATAACTGACGGCAAAGCAATAGCCTGATTTGCGTTTTGTCCATTCACCTATTTTTCTCGATTTTCGGGGTATAAAGTCGCAGTGGATGCCATAGTTCGGGCTTCAGAAATTGTTTCTTTAGGCATGGTGGGTTCGACAGTTACTTTTTATTGTATAAGTAGAAATACGTTGTTTTGTAATCAAATTCGCGAGAAAAAAAGTAGAAGTTCTGCTCTCAACGCGTTACAATGACTTAGAGCTCAAATTAACAGAAGGATATCAAATCTGTGGACACATCCGCACACTTATGCTTGCATCGCAATCCCATTTTCTACCCTCTACATTTATACTACAGTTAATATTTTACAATTCATGAATTTCTACTAATTAAATTATAAGTAGTACGGTAGGATAGTGTTGAGCACAAGAATATAAGCTTCATGAACAAGGAGTTTTTGGTTAATATTTTGGTGCCACAGTGCGGTCAGGTTCGAAGTAAGTTGATGTTCCGTTAGTTATGAGGAGAAAACAACCAGCACTGTACACACCCAACTTTAACGAGGTCTGTCTTGAGACTAACTGCTGCACACACGTTTGGACAATGATAATTAAAGCATGCCACCGATGAGTGCCTATTTAATGACGCCTTTACGTAAGGGGTGGAAGCGAAGAGGGATTGTCATCCCCACTAAATACACTGTGAGACCTCCTCATTTTCTCTGCTATCGGTCCACGGAATTAGTGAGAGAGTGGAGAACAGACACTTATTAGGAGGCAGGTGTTTGTATTTGGAAGAAAGGTAGGCATTGACATGCGACTGCTAATCAAAGCACAGAGCCCAATTGATTGGTTGCTTAGCAGACTGCATGACTCATTGAAGGGAACAATTAGGAGATAAGTTAAGTAGGTTTGTCCTCTGATTGGCTACCCATTGGCTGAAGTATGGTAAGACCGTACTTAATGGTCAGCATATTTTGTCTCCTCAAAGTTTCGCTTGCCAGAGTGGTGCTTGCGTGTATTCAATCAGGGCTGCCTTATGGTCAGATGTCAGCTTGTTAAAGTGGTTTCGGAGGGGATCGATCTATGGGTAAGGATGTTTAAAATGATGGGTTAGGTACTAAAAATGTCAAATTACGTTCAGTACAGAAGGACGCTATGATTTGTTTTAACAAAACCACCCGCCAATCATCAGCCAAACAATGGGTGACGAAAAACTGCCATCAACTTGTGCATTAAGAAGAGACGTCGTTGTGACACCATTTAGTGGGGAAATTAGCTCCCATTCTGGTACCCATGCTGAGAGACGTAGGAAGAATGTTGAGATCAAAGGTGATCATTGACATAGACATTCCCGAAATGGCAATCTTACCTGAACCAAGAGCAAATGACCAGTCAAATCCCCATTAAAATGACTGATGTACAGACTTCACCCCTAGTGACATACATATGTACGACGCGTAATCATTGAAGTGGAATCCGACTTCGTCGGTTCTAGTTGCAAGCTACGATACCTTAAGCGAAATACGCACTAAATTAAAGAACCCAAGAGTCACATCAGACGTCTGAATGGTAAAAGCTATGGAGAAGAGAAACAAAACCGGACCTAAAACAAAACATTCTTAACGAAAAGTGTTGATAGATTCCCGAAAGTCATCATATCGATGTAGTTTTAAGGATTCAATCATAAAAGCAAATCCAAATAGCAAACGCCATAGAAGTAAGACGGGTTTACTGTATGTACAATAAAAAATGGGGCAATCCGACTAAATTTTGCTTAATTTATTTGACCGACGATGTCGGATTGTAGACTTGAGTAGTCATATTGCCCCAACAGGGTGAGAGGACAATCCGATCATGCCAAAATTCCCCACATTCCATTTACCCTGGTCAGTTAAGGAGCTTAGAAAGGTCGTATCGATAAGTTGCGTAAATAAGATGTCTTCCAAACGCGCATCGTTGGCTATTCAGAGCGTGATCCGCTGACTCGGATGCCGATTTCGAATGGAAATCCCTAATTTTCAAGACCAACAGACCACCAGCATGCCTCTGACAGCCTTGCAATCGCTCCTAACGAATGATAAACCGATCTTAGTTTTTGGTTTAGTAAAGCAAAGTTTGTAACCTTCAAATAGACTTGCTAAAGTAGGTATTTCGTTGCATGCAAAGGTAAACATTTTCGGTAAAAATTTTCAGAATTGTAATACTTTGTTTATGTTACTACCTGAAGTTTGGCGGTCACTGTAGAGGTTGTTCGGTTCGTGTGCACGTGGGCTGGCCTTCTGGTTATGGTCAACCTCGTTTCCCCTGTCGTCTTCGGAATATATGTATCCAGCTGCACTTACTGACCTCTTATGCCGGCCAGGAGGTCTCGGGACGCTACACTGGTGGCAGCGGAAAGCAAGCTCGCAATTTTTTAACGACTTTCAGGTATTTTGTGCCTTTGAAACCCTTCTCCAGCTGATGTGGGGTCTCTCTCCGGCTTGCTCTTCGTTGAGCGTTTGTTAAAAGCGACGTAGTGTCCGAGAAAATCTGTCGCTCGACGGACACCGCTGTTTTACCGGTACCCTACGTTTATGTTGCTAAACTTTACCAATTAATCAACTGATCTCCGGGAAAGAGCACTACGAACAGGTCAACGAGCAATGGTTCAGTACCTACAAATCGCACAAGGTCTGGAGATGTTCGAGTAGCTATGAATCTGATAATCTGTTTGTGTCTACAGCTGGGTTCCTTTGGCCGGAATTTCGAAACTTCTCTTTTCACGACAAAAGTTTAATTTTATAATCCAACCAGCAGACAAGACTGCAAATGAATTCTACTTTTTAATGAAGAAATCCAAGATTAATAAGCGCATTTTGGTGTTGAGAATCGGCCATGATGAACTATACATGCATAGAAGAAAGTCTATCGAAGTGCAATAGGTGAAGATACAGGTGAAAAGGGGATATGAATTGGAGGAGGCGCATTTATATTGGTGATGGAGAATCTCTGAGTCCCTCCCTTGTTCCATAGACAAGCTATTAACAGCTGAAGCGACGCCACTGTGAACCATCTGGAAAAGTTTAGTGTCGAAATTTTCCACACAGAATCCGTGTTCCCTCTGTAGCACATTTGTTTTAGACCAGTTACACTGTCTAATTCTGGAAGCACTTTATGGTCAGCAGGTGTATGCGGTCCCGAATCTGGTTGTCAGACCGAACGCAATCCCGGATCAAGTTGAAGCTGCCGTGCAGACCAAGTAGGTTCCCCAGTCTCATGGCGTGGGAGGTGTGCCGAAGGAGAGCGGTCTTTATAGGATTTGTCAGGCCCTTGTACACGTGGGCTGGTCTTCGGGCCATGCCTAGGCCCATTGTCCTGTCGTCTTCGGAATACATGTATTCAGCTGCACCTACTGACTTCTCATACTGTCAAGGAAGTGTTGGGGCACTGCAATAAGTCCTTTTAAAGCATTAATTCGACATGGGATACATGGACATAATTCGTCCCAGATTTTAATCGACGGTTGTGCAATACTTTATCCGTGTTACTGCAAGTATGGCGAATAGTTTGGTATTTGCCATGCTCTCCGGCGCGTGGGCTAGGCTCTGGGACAGGCCAAAGCGTAGTTTCTTTTGTAGCCCAAAGCGAGGCAATCTACGTGTTGAGATGTCTAGCGATTGAAAGTATGATTTTGCACTTGCATAATTTCATCACAATACCGCATAGTTGAAGTGTCAAGTCAATCAAGATAAATATTATATATATAGTGTCTTAGAAACTTTTGCAGGCGATAAATTTGAGACGCACCCAGGGGCGTTTTATCCGCTCTACGAAGTGGAGTGTTAAGGGAAACATAACCCAAGATCTGCTTTGCATTGCCTTCTGGTTCACATTTATCAGTAAGATTGTTTTTAATTTCTACTTTACTGAGTTAATATTGTGTAGATCGTGACGGCGAACATTCAGCGTTTGTGCTATGCGTATTTTAACTGAGCCTAAGTTAGAGACACTCTCATAAACGCAAACTAAATGCCTTCGCGGTGGAATTCAAAAGGCGTGACTTTGTGCCCAGGTTCGTCTGATATCGACCTCAAAGCGTCACGTGAGGATGGAGTGCAACGACTTGAACGCAGGTCAGAACATCGAGGCAGATACTGTGCAAAATTGCGCAAATTCTGGACAAGCGGCAGGTCAACCTAATGATATTCGTATCCTCGACTGCGAAGATGAGGATGATGACGATGAGGAGTTGACCGAACTGCTACAGCAACAGCAGCAGGACTTGGCTGAACAACAATGTCCTCCGCCAGCTGAATTGGAGCCAGAACAGCCATGTAGAAGCTCGGGACTTCCGGAGGTTACTACAATCGACGGCAATGCCCTGCTTAGGTTACCAATGGTACGAGTGGACTTTGAAAAGCTCATTCCAGACTCTCAGACAGGAGTTGACATTCCATTGTGCATAGCAGGACCCCTCTTTGGCATGCTTGAGGCTCTACGCTGCGAGTTGAAATCTCGTGGTACTAAGCCATTCTTTGAACGAATGGAGGAGTTAAAATCCGATGATAAGTACGAAAGACTTGATCGAGAAGTTATAACCTGGCTATATCACAGCTGTCGACTTTATTCAGAATCTCGCTTCCTCTTTCAGGAAACTGATTCACTCTATGCCTTTCACGTTAGCACACGCATTATCAATATGATTAAGCCGAAACTGTTTCCCATATCCAAATTCCTCGCCCGCCAAGCCGAGCAAACCAACTTATATTGCGCGAAAATGCCCTTCCTGGAGACACGCCGATTTGCATCGAACGTCGTTGAGCATTGCGATGACGGTAGTACCATGCCGTTGGAGGATCTTCTTAGTCCAGAAAGAACTGAAGTGGCCTTAAGCACTATCAACAATTTCATCGCCATGATTGTGTTTGATCTCTATCATATAGAGCGTCGAGAGAATCGTGATATTGTGCGTTTCATTTTCCTTATTTTCATACAAGCCTTCCGAGAGTATATAGAGCGAATAAACCCCGATTCTTCCATTCCTCGCGATTCACTTTATAGTCTGCATACGGTTCAAAAGTCTTCCCATATCTACAAACCCATGCTTGGCACCGTTAGCCTGTGCTTAGGCAAGGGGCTCATTGGCGTGCCAATTTTTTGGATTGCTGACATCTTCACCCGTCACTTTGGGCTTGAGTCAATAGATATAGAGGCAAACTGCTATCGAAACCGGTTGGTAAAACGGATAGTTGAGAATGTCCTCACCATTGGCTCACCTACAGCCTTCTTGAAAGGCAATGAACTAGGTGAATGCATCTTCCACAACGCTCAAGACTTCAAACAATGTGTGTGTCGTCTGCTAGATAAAAGAATTATGACCGCAGCCTACTGTCCACACATTCTATAAAGTTCGGCCCTCACAATCAATTCAGTTGCCTGAGCCCTACTCGTACAAACTGCTTTTGTGAAAAATAAAGTATACTACTAACTGCAAGCACTTCTATTTCAGTAGTTGGGATCACAGTGGGTTCAGAGGTCTCTATTGCTAAATGAATTGGGTTTCATACAGAGCAAATAAATCAATATAGGCAGCTATCCGAGCATTTTTTGTGTTGCTCTCCTTAAAATGTCCTTAATGCCCTACACATGACTGGATCATGTGATACGATTTGAAAGACCACGGAGGAGGCGAAGGTCCCGCGAGTTGCATTATTGATTGAAGTGCTGAAGACGATGGTGGATGGGTGGATGCATCTCAAGGCAGAACACCTTAGTCAGGTTCAAAAATTGAACTCAAACCTAACAGAGGAGACCTACCCACACTCTCTGGATACGCAGTCTCAAGCATCAAGAGCCGCTCTGTTTAAAAAGCCCCCCATTCCTACAATCGGAGGTCACTGTGCAGATCGTTTGAAGCATTATTCACCTAATAGGAGTTTTGCAACTACTCCTGAAACTGTTACTGAAGGAAACCCCTCCTTTGAAGCCTCACAATGCCCACCTAATTTCCGCCCCACCCCGTCTGTGCACGCAAATCAATGTCTATATGGAGTGCGTTCTCAGGAATGTTCACCCTCCAGGTGCCCTGTCAGTCAAATTGAATATCATTCCGAATTGTCATCGCCTTTTAAACGTCTACATTTTCCGCCTGGCTTTTATACCTCTTCAACTTCATCCATTGACCCAACAGAAACTAATGTTCGAAATTCTCTACCTCCACGGGGTCCTCCAAATCCCATGAGAGCTCAATCTGAAGGTCGCGTTCCTTTGAAACCTCAGTATATACCAGGATTTTCGGACTCTTTACCCCCACCTTTGAAACCAGCTTCAGGTTGTATGAAAAATTCTGCAACTACATGGGGTTCCCATTACTTGACTGGAATGCGTTCTCAAGTGTATCAGCCTTCCAATTGTTCCTTAACTCAAACTACGTGTCAATTTGGAGGACCACAATATCCGCCTGCATTCCGCACCAATCCATCTTCACCCAACTTACAGGGCTATTTTTCCCCAAGAGGTCAATCTGGACTGCGTTCTCAAGGAAATCGTGCTGAGGTTGCCTTGCCTTTAAATAAACCACAATATGCTCCAGACTCTTGCACTCCTTCCATTCCACTTATGAGGCCAACGGTAGTCAATAAGAAGCTGCTTTTGCCATCACTGGGGGTTTGTGATCAAATGAGAGCCCAATTCGAAGCACATCCTCTCATAAGCCAAAAGAGCTTATCAAAACTAGGTGATCCTCCTACGGTGCCGATAAAGACCACCGAAGCTTCAAATCAAGGCCATTTTTCTTTAATGGACTTTAAAAGTCCAACTGCTCCTTCATATCAATTCCATGGAACCTATGCAGGCTTTCAGAATGTGAATGCTGCTGGTGGCTCAGATTGTAGCCCCTCGGATGATTCTCCAAACACAACTGGAGTTAAGATCTCAGAATTGCCATCCTTAAGGAGCCCATGTCCCCTAATTCAGGCCGGCCAGAGTGATTCCTGCGAACGGCCTCATCAGCGTTTTGGAGTACCGGTATTTTTGGACGATCTCGAGGTTAAAACTTCGTGTGAAATGGAATCCGACGAGATTGCGGCTTTCAAATGCCCATCTTCCAACCAGCCAAGTATTGAAAATGGAATTACTGATCAACCCTGCCCACCTACAATTTGTCTACAATTTGGAACTGCTACAACTCAAACTAAGGTATCTCAACCGTCGAGTAGTTCCCATGGTATAAGTGTATCCCCATGTGCTCGATCATGTCCGCAGTCACTCGGTGCCCAGGATGTTAACGTGTCTCCAGGAGCCAGTAGTCGCCAAGGTGTACATTCATGCCCTTGTCCTCAAAATTTCACACGGAAGGATGATGGTCCTGAGGTCAATATCTTCCAGTGCATCCCACCATCCACAAGGTCAAGCGGTCTCCAGGAGGAAAACGCGTTACAATGTACTCAGCCATCCACACAATCCAGTGGTCTCCAGGCTCCCAACGGCTCGCCTTGTGCTCAGCCATCAACACGATC